GCAGCGAACATAGTAATCTTACGGGGCCTCAAGCGAAGGCTAGATGAAACAAAGAAGAAATGGGTCGAGGAGCTGCAGAGTATGCTCTGGTCGTACCGGACCACGCCCCATTCTTCAATCGGGGAAACCCATTTTCGCCTAGCATATGGGACAGAGGCTGTAATCCCCATCGAGGCTCATATTCCCTCCAGTCGGACTGAAGTGCCCTTTGACGAAGAAGCAAACAGCGAGGCCCTGAGAGAGGAGATTGACCTCGTCGAGGAAGTCTGTTCAGAGGAAGCCCTCTGCGAGGCCTCACTTAAACAAAAAAATCACAATCAAGCACAACGCCAAGGTTATATGACGAGAGTTCCAAGTAGGAAGCCTCGTCCTAAGGAGGAATCACAAAGATTCTCGCGAAGGTAAGCTCGCCGCAAACTGGGAAGGACCCTACCGTGTTAGAGCAAAAACAGAGAATGAGGCCTACTACCTAGAATACCTTACCGGAGAAGAATTAGCTCGACCATGGAACGCCGAAAAGCTGAAAAAATATTACAGCTAAGGTCCTCATTGTCGACATGTCTCGCCCAAGCGACGAGCACAAGCACCGACCATAGGTGTGCGCCCAGGTACAAGCGCTGCACCACCAACACGGATCTAAGCAGGGTTTAAACAAAGAGACACTTAACTCGTGCACGACAGCGGTTCCTCGACCGAGCTCGTCATCGTCAAAGTACCATGAATGACAAAACCCCTAGCTCGCGATGGGAAGTTCACGCTGCGAACTCAGGCCACAAACGCGGCCTGAGCTCCGCTCCTCTGCCCGAAAACAACCAAGGTCTTTCGACTAATTCCCCGCACTATCAAATATCGTTTGTCAAGCATACCCGAAACATAACAAATTACTAAGTTATCTCATACGACCAGCGTTGGACTGCGTATAACACTTAGAAAAATTACACAAAGTATAAATAAACATACAAATACATATTAACATAAGGCGACCACAAGGGTAGCAAGTGTGCATGTTACAATAAAACAGGCCCAAGTCCCACAAAATAAAATTACAGATTAAATAAGCGGCGTGCAGGCCAAAAATGTAAACCGAGCAAGACTCAATGCTCCCCCAGTTGGGTTTCCTCTTGGGTCACCTGCTCGCGCTCTTCACCACCTTCGCCAAACTGGAGGAACTCAGTGACGACTATTTTGCCATCCTTAATAGAATAGAGAAACCATATGTCTTCGGTAGTCATCTCGACACCAGGGTTCACCAACTTCAATTGATTCGCGGAATTTTGAAAGACCTCCTCGCTAGTAGCCAGGAGATTATCGTCGGCCTGAGTGATCCGGGAAACCAGCTCTTCCCGAGTCGACAGCTTCTTCATCTCCTCGATCTCATCTTCAGCAGGGGCAGCAGCGACCTTTAGCTTTTCCACCAAGTCCTCAGCAGCCTTCTTTTGGGCGGCCAGGGCGTCCCTCTCCGCAGACATCTCCTCGCGACCCTTCGTGTAGCCTCTTCAAGCTCCCCCTCCCGTTCTTCCGGAGTTTCTTGACCTTCTCCTCCAGGGCCGCCATTGCAACTTGGGACTTCTTCAACTCAGACTCATGTTGAAAGTCGTCCTCGGTGTACACCACCTTCATCTCCAGGATTCTTATCAAGGCGGAGGCATCCTGCGCGAGCATGGCCTGCTTGCTGGAACGATCCATTTCCTCGAGCTTAAGAGAATCTGCCCAAGGAATGGACAGGGTGGACCCCTCAAAAAAATTCCTATTGTGCAGACAAGGAGGCAGCTCGAACTTGCTTTTTCCCTCTCCCGGCTGAGATTCACGATTTCATTCGGGCGTACGCGCTTGAGCCTCGAACTCACAGGCGGGAGAGACGCTTGGGTGGTTGGCGGGGTAGATGAGGAAGTCCCCAATCCTGTCTAGGGAGGAGTTGTTTTCTGACCGAGGCGGCTTTTTCCTATGGCCACACAACCCTTCATATTTTCATGGACATTCTTTACCATCTGCTCATGCGCAGAAGACATATTACCTGCAAAAACAACGAGCACATCGACACATGAAAAAAGAAGCATTTCGAATAAAATAAGAAGAAACAGGAAGCTACCCAAGAGTTTAAGAGCCTTCTCCCGAGTGCTACACTCGAGGAGCTCTTTCGTGTTGATATATCAGGCTTTCACCTGTGGCCCCCCATCTTTTTCATAGAGCATCTTCCTAGCGCGAGTCACACACTGGACAGGGAGAAAACCATCCACGAAGGCCACCAGCTTAGCATAGCTTGCCCGGTCATTGTCCCCCAGTTGGTGAGGAGTAACTATATACTCATCGGTTGAGCAGGTAAAATGAGCCTCACTCCAGGAGAAGGGAAACAGGAACAGTCTCCGAGCAACTATCTTGTTGTCCTCGTCTATTAAATCCTCCTCGTTCTCATTCTTAGAGACCTCCCAGACGAAGGTCGAGTCGGTAGTTGTCTCCGACATAGGCTCGACCACATAGAACCTCTCCTTGAAGGTCTGAATAGACTCAGAGAAGGGTTTGAATAATTTGCTCCCCTATTTCAGAGAAACCCAACCGAATTTCCTCCCAGACACCTGTCGCTAGAGGTGGAAGATTGTGAAGAAGAGCGGAAGAGTGGCCCTAATCTGTAAATATTCGCACACTAATTCATATGCCCGCATGAAGGCAATAGAATTCGGATGCAGCTGGGAGGGCGCCAAGTCTAAGTGTACAAAGAATTCCCACTGGAAGTTTATGAAGGGCAACCTCAACCCTATTTCTTTGAAGACATACTCGTATATAGGAAATCTTTCCCCATACGACGAGCATATACGGTCCTCTTCCGCATGGAAGTGGACCTGCATTCTCCCTCTGCCCCCACTGTGGTAAACACATCCCCGGTATATGAAGCAAAAAGTGAGGCATGTCCCATCAGTTCGGCCACAATTCATTCGTCGGCAGAGGTCCTCGCAGCAGACACTCCTCCAGCCTTATGGGGCGTGGAGTCGTCATCCGTTTCAGTGTCCTTCGAAGAGCTCTCCTCGGACAGATCTCTGAGATGTTCTTCTTCTTCAGCCCTGCGCGACATTTCCTTTACCTGAAAAGCAGAGGATAAAAATGAATTCGATGACAAAATCAAATTCACTCTTCCACTGCTAGTTAAGTGAAAGGGCGCGCAAAGGGCCAAGGACGGCGCCCTCGACCTAAGCTCTACTTAAATGGCCCAATTAATAGACGAAGAAGTGCTCGGGAATTCTCCCTGGTGCAACCGGAAAAAACTCCCTTGCACACAAAACCCAGAATTCTAATGAGGGAACCACCGGAAAGCTCATAAGCACACCGGAATCCATGGCTCCCTCCGGCAGCGAACACCATTGTGTCGCTACTACACCAAAATCAGCTAAAGGCTTAAAAATCCCTAAGTCCTTCATTCCTAACAGTCACTACGACGCCGGCAGCAGAATATGTGGTCAAACCACCGTCTGCCACCAACAACCACCACTAAACGCCCTTAAACTACTTCGCATCAACCCTAACCGCATGCATTATAAAGTGCAGAAACCAGAAAAACAGATAACAAGCAAGGAATCAGCATACTTACTTGGTCGGGGAAGAAGCTTATGGGTTTGAGTAGCTCTGGTCGGATCTTGTACTGTGGCCGGAACGAAACTTGACGGCGGCGGACGGCTGAAAACGATGAACAGAAAACAAAGAAGAGAAAGAAGTGAAAGTTCAAAATGAGCAGACTCTCTCACCATTTATAGGCAAACTCCAGGCACGTGCACGAGCACGCGCGGGTAGGGCATCATCATGACCCTAGCCTAGCCATCATCACACATTTAATGGAGCACACGGCTCGAGGCACACATGATGCTCCCACTCTTCAGATCCCATCTCCCCGAACCTCGAGCTCCCCGGTAAACAACGTTTCAGATGCTCGGGCATAGATTCCTTCGGGCACAAGGTAGCTTGCGACAACTTTGACCAGGAAGCGGACTGTCCATAAGTCATCACTACCATCCTCGATAGCAAAGACTTGAGGGCTACTGTTCCGGACCGACTCAATGGCTAGACATGACCCAATTCACTTCTGCTCCCAAAACACCCCAATTGTCTAAGTCCAACCACTTTGGGCAGGAATTTACCTTTCTACCCCTCCAACAGAGGAGGCTGGCCAATTTACCCTTGGTCACAACATTTCTCTCCGTCAGTCTCTGTCCGTCACGCACGGTTCCACCATTCAGAAACAGCTAAGACGCACGTGCCCGTAGCTACGACTAGTTATGAACACGTCTACCTGTTACAACGGCTAGTTCTGACAGTTACCTATTCTTCGAGAAACGGTTATCTGACCCCAAAAATAAGGATCAATGGTCAAGCGTTGGAGGCACTATAAAAACCCTCTCATTCGAGAGGGTCAGATATCCAATATTCACCCTGATATACTCATATTCTGTATTTACTCTCTCTCTCTCTCTCATTTCTTACTTTAGCATCGGAATGTCTTGCAGGTACACCCCCTCCTCCTCTTTCACACTCAGCGTTACAGACGATTGTCTTTGGTCCACCTCAATTTTGATAAACGAGTAAGATTACAATGTAAAATATTAAATCAAGTTAATGGACCTTTAAGTCTTTTTTACATATTTTTTTTATCTATTATGTGTAAACTCAGAATGAGTAGTTCCTTTGTTCTAATCGCCATCGTATAAGCTCCGGCTTGGAATCTGAACCGGAGGTGTTCTGGTGTTGCAGAGATCAAAGAAAGACGATCAACGAGTCAACTCAGTTCATCAAACAAGAATTGTGAGAGTAATTATTTTGGATATTACTTTTCTGAACAACCGTTCTAATTTCAGCCATTAATTTTTAATTGACAGACCCAGACTCAATAAATATCCTTGACTAAAAAATTAGAAGTTGACAGTGATTTCACAAATCAAATGGCGATGTACTAAAACATTGCATAAACTATAATATAAAAGATGAGATCAAAATTGTTGGCAATATCATTCGTATCATTAAATAGCACTTTGATACTGAGCCCATTTTTGTAACTCGTCCTCGCTATCATCAGATTGCTCCAGATTTTGATCTTCCATGGGATCTTCCTGATCTTTAACTCCAATGTTGTCCTCCTTCTCAGTTGTTGCAACCCCTTTCTGCATTCAGATAAGAGTTTTGAAAATTGGCAAGGTGAATTATGGGATTAAGAAATATTAGACTTCAGAAAGCTATAAATGGAAGGATTTAATCAAGGACATCCTCAATCTGTAAATAAGGAGGGAAAGACTGGCATTTATAATTGTCATTAGTATTTGCTAGGAGGGAAAGTACATACATTAGTTCCAGGTGTTGGGTCCTCAACCTCCTCCCCTAGCATGAAATCTGGGGCATCATCACTAGCCGTATCTTGTTCTACCTTATTAGAAGTTTGTTGCAGACTCTCAGCCACCAGTTTATAATGACAAAGATCTACAAAAGAGGTTCAGTAGAGTTTTATTTGCTCGTCAAGGAGTATATAAAGAACAATAAACCATTCTGAACTTTTATTTTGCCATGAAGTAGATTAAACATGCTGAATATGATCAACACAGAAAAGTAACTGAAGAGTTGAACCTGTGGCATGATTATTCACAGCATTAGATAATCGTAAAGGATGTTGCCGTTCTTCCTTCTTGTACTTCAGCTTAACTTGATGGCGTGTTTTATCAGGGAAAAAAAGTTTCTGTATCATTTCAAAATCTGTGCAAAAACTAACAGCCTGTATTTAAAAAATGAATAGTTAATGTATTGAAAAAGAAAAGCCCTTCCTTCCATTCTTCCAACCCAAAAAAGACAATTACTAATTTACTATTTGTATAGCACAATTTAAGTAAATAATAAAGCCAGATATTGTAAGAATTATGCAAATACCTTATAAAACAGTTCAGTATCTTGCTTTGACCATTTTGCCCTAGGTGCCTTGTTCATGAAAGAGTGGTAATTCAATAATGGGGCAGTTGATGTAAGCTTCTCACTTGCCTGATCATCATCAGGGTCCCTATATTCATCATCTGAACCAAAAAACTGCTCTTCATTATTACCATCAGCCTCATGAAGAACATCCCAGTCGCTGCATATAAACATTTTGAAAAGTGAAATCTATATAGGATGTTGTATGACTCAACAGTGACAGTAACAACAGCCAGTGGATAGTATGAAGTGAGTTTTTTTATATAATGTTTTCCCTTTTCCCTTTTGTTCAATACTACTGAGGAAAGGGAGTTGTAGTCTGAATGCATGAAGTGCCTTGATGAGTACAAAAAATAGAAAGACCTTCCGTTTATATCCCTAACATTTTACTCGCCAACTCCAATCATAAACTACAGGGAAAGGGACTTGGGTTTCTAAGTTTTAGTATAATTGGATTGGGGCAGAAAGAAAACTCTGTGTTGCTCACCAAAGGACACATTTTTTTCCCGAAGAGGCGAAGACAATGACATGTATTATTATAATTTAATGAAAACTTGGCAAAAGCACTTACAATGCATGAGCTCGCCATTAGAGAATTTAAAAACAAGAACAAAAGCCAAACAAAAATTACTCTATCAGCATTACACCTAGTTCATAAATGAACTCTACCCCATAATTTTCCAATCATGCTTCTCAGCTCATCATTACCAGCAACAATAACATGCAAACATCACTTTGTCAATGTTTCATTCTAAGCTCATTATATCCCAAGACATTTTCTACTCATAATAGCTTGGCATATTTTAACTCTTAAGCCCACATCGGACAGTTTAGTACGAAGGTGTGAACACCATATGTATATTGAAGTGAGTGAGAGCAATTCGCTTAAGTCAGCATGTGATGACATGTGTTAGTGTAGGACTTGTTTTCTCGCCCTTCATGATACAAAAAGAAGCTAGGATTTGTTGTTTCTTGCTTGTGCTATAAAATAACCACGTTGTGGGTTAAAATAAAAGAATGCCAGTCCGGGCCAGTTTCTATTACCTTGTTCAAATCTACCACCCTCCATGCCATGACCCACCTGACCAATTTTCTAAAGGATGAAAATAATGGACTTCTTGAACCCATGGCAATCCATTTGCTAAACACATTGACTTTCCGAACGACTTCATAGAATCATTCACATGTCTCCGGCAACAATCCAAAAATAAAAGAACTTTGCTTTGTTGAGTTAGTTTCTCAACACTTTCAGATATCTCTTACTCCAATAGCATGAGAATGTATGAATCATGCATTAAGTTTTAGTGGTATATGCTAATTTGCATAATTATATCTTATCATATACTTTTTCCAAAAGATAAACATTGACCAGAAAATACATGTAGAGAGCTGTGTAATTGTATAACTGAAAGCTAACAGAAAAGTAACCAACTCTATCAAATAATATACATACTAAAATTTCTTAAGTTACTAGCTACTCTATGTATACTCCAATAAATACACTTATAAGCTGCGTAGTGTACCTTTGATTGGTGGAAGATATTTTTGATGTTGCTGCATCCTTTTTCTACATCAAGAAACAAATGGAAAAGTTCGTGAAATTTAACCCTTATAATTAATGCCTACTATCAATTGCTAGCATTGCAACACAATAATTATAGTTGAGAATACCCACCGCCAATCGCTCCTTATAATCTGCAAGTAAAATAATATCCCTAATAGGTAATGTTCGCTGATCAAGAAATTCATCATCCAGCAGAGCCTTGTCCACTATGAAAATGAAAATACTTTCACAGTAAGGATATAAATATAGTCATCATAGACAACAGTTAAAAAAACATATAGTCTGATAAGTTTACCATGTCTTTTTCTTCGCCGGGATGAATGCGGGAACTTTTTAGGAGGTACTTCAGAAACCTTTTCAATATCGTCATTAGCCTTCTTGCGTTTTCGAGATGCTTTTCCATTTTTAACAGGTGATTCAGAAACCTTTTCAATATCATCATTAGCCTTCTTGCATTTTCGAGAGGCTTTTCCATTTTTAGTCACGGATTTTTTCTTAGAACTTGTTGATGCTCTTTTCTTCTTGGATGGATAATCCACTCTGTACTCATCACTATCTTCTTCAAGTTCATCTCCATCAAAATCATAAAGAGGGTTGAGGACATCATCATCCTCAATAGCCTCATTCAATGAGTTTTCAGCAGGTTTACGAACTGCTTGTTTTCTCAGTTGCCTTAAGGTTTTACCACCTTTATCCTCCACAACTGCAATAGAAGATCTTTTATGCTTCTTTAGAGATTTTTTTGTCCCATTGGCATCCTGAGAAAGATTGCAAATAAAATGACAACCCATCAACAAGATCAGATACATAAATCAGAAAAGTGGGAAAAAATGACAAATCATAATAACAGATATTTACTTCTTTCTCTCGAATACTGTCTAGCTGCAAAAAATCAGCCAATGTGGGACTATCTGCAGAGTTTGTCACCCATTCATGCCTTGGAATTCCAGATGGTGGATCAGTGCCGGATTTCATAGATTGATAATCATAGGCATTGTCAATTGTGCAACCAGGGTTCAAGTTTGTGCCTTCCTGAAACCAATAATAATCATGCCCGTGTTTATACCAAAAAAAATTATTTATTTAGCAAGGTGCTACACCCGTTCTTCCTTCCCTCTGATGCTGCCCCCTAGATATTTTAGAAAACTATCATATCTAATAAATCACATAATCTTCACCTGTGATTCCGATCTACTTTTGTTATCATATTCTGGAAGGACAAAATTTTCCTCTGCATCCTTCACATCGGAAGATTTAAGATCTGGTTTTCCTGCAAACAATTTTCCAATCATTATTGAAGAATCCCAGCGTCAGGTACTTACAATTGGCCAAGAGCCAATTAAACATGAGAGTGAGAGAGAATAAATGGAAATTCAAAACAACAGAAACTCGTGCACACTAAAGAGAAGAATGAGAAGTGGCGTGCAGAGCATTAATAACTTGCCTGTAGCAGTTGCAGCTTGGTTGAGAATGCCATCAAGTGATTCTAGCCCCAACAGAATATCTGTAGTCTATAGGTGTAGATATGAAATATATCATTACTATGCAAATTAATGAAACTGAAAAAACTGTGGTAAATATAACCTTACCTCTGCAGCTGATTTACCAAAGCTAGAAGGCAAATCACTCGTTCCTTCATGAACTACATCCTCTGAGGTCATATTCAGGAAATCTGGATGTGAAGGAATAACTGCTTCGATGCTTCTATTGTTTTCAGAGAATGGAATACCTGAGCTTATACAATCAAACTTGATATATAAATTGGTTTTCCTAAGAATTACCGAAGTGGGTAAAGGTGAACATATCATTTGTGCAAGGAGGTAACTCACCAGATGAAGCAGAAGCAATAGCGGGTGTATCGCTGACTCTAGGCCGTGGCTTAACCTTGGGTTGAAACTTACGAGCTACATTGAAAACAAATACAGATGATTAATCTTTTCAGGTATCTGAAGTAAGTTTACAACAACATCAACATTACTAACCATTCCCAGGGCCAGGATCAGGGAGGACATTGCTGAAAGGATCCAACTCAATTTCGGCAGACAATACCTGGAAAGAATATCCTCCATAAGTTGACTACATCCATCAGAAATAGTAAAGCTACATGAAAAAGATCCATAAAATTCAAAATTGTACCTCTCCCACCTGTCCAAACTCAAAACTTGAATGACCGTTACTCTCAGGTATTGCAGTGTTATTGTCGCCCGAAGCACTTTTGAAGCCCACGTTTAAGCTAACTTCAGGTGAATTATCAGTAACTTGCAAACTTTTGTCCGTACCGAGAAATGAACCTGAACCTTCCCCGTTTTGAGGCCGTTCATCCATGGTTGAGGAGATAGTAGATGGTGCAGCCAGATTATTCAATTCATTCTCTACATCAATAACAAGGTGAACTGATTATGACGTTAAACATAAAATTAACCACAATGTCAAAAAAATTATATATATTTTAGTTTTAGGCATCCCAAAATTTTTCCTTCTTGATAGGTTTCAAACATGCAAATAATAATATGATCCGCCACAGGATTCAAACATGCAAATAATAATATGAAAACATAACTGACCATTATTGAGATGGATATCAGGATGATGATGATCAGACTTGATAGGTTTTTCAATTGAGGAAGTTACAGCAACTGCATTATGAGATTCATTCTGAGAAACTCCTTCAGATGCTTTGTGAGTGGTAGACGAAGCAACGTGCACATTGTTCTCATCTTTTGATGCAGATACATTCTTTCGAGGCGGTAGTTTGGGTTTAGCCTTAGGCGCAAACCTGGCACCTGGTCTAGCTACAGAACAAAACAGTATAAAGAATCAACGAAAAGGAATGCATAGATTGAAAGAAGAAGAAATAAAAAGGGTTTGATTTGAAATAGCAGTTACCACGTGTTGTAGGAGTAGGATCAATATCATCGAAGAGATTTTCCATGAATGAGTTAATTAGGTTTTTACCAACGGTTGTGTTTTCAATTAATCAATGCGGCTCAGTTGGCTTTGGAAGGAGCGGTTATGAGTTGGAATTGCAGCCGCGCGGGTGGTGCCGGAAAGTGGAAGAGATGGAGGAGTTTCTCACTCTTTCTAGCGGGTGAAACTGCTTCCCGGTCAGTCGAGTTCCAACTTGTCTCTGATACAGGACAAAGCAGCGGTTGCATTATTTTGTTTATTTGATGGAGTTGCTGAGATTTTCTTTAATTTTAGGGTTTTTAATTTAAATGGTTAATTGTTTACATGATTACAATTATTAAAAAAATAACTACTTTCACATATATTTATTAAAATAATTAATTAAATATAACTATTTTTTTTATTTCATTTGCAATCTATTATAATAATCTTAATTATATTTGAAGAATCAACTAACAATAATAAATATTCTTTAATTAAATTAAATGTATAATAGTAATATTAATTAATTTAAAAACTAATAATTTTTGTTTAAAATAATGATTAAATTTTTTTTTTAATTCTAAAAATTTAATTGACATGTATTGAGAGTGTAAAACTTTTTAAATTGACAATGCATAATAATTGTTCTGGTCTGGGCCCAGTCTCGCGGTCCTGCCCAATAACGCACAAGGTCCAATAAGTGGAATAGCTTGACCGGGCGCACACCCCCCACCGGACGGGCAGGATACGCTCTCTGTCAAGCGGAACGGTGCGCCTCGAAGCGTCCTCAGCGCTCCCCTTAGCCGGATCGAACAACTTCCACGGGCAGGATCCCCTTGCCAACGGGCATGGCGATTCGTCTTCTCCGCTCTCGTGTGCCTTCCCCCCCCCCCCCCCGGGGAGAGCCATACACCGCCCGGAAATCCCACGAGCTCCCCTCCGCGGGGAGAACCTCGTGTTCTTTGGGAGTCCCACGAGCTCCCCTCCGCGGGGAGAACAACGCGGCTTGTGCGCGGTCTCCACGTGCTCCCCTCCGCGAGGACACGTCACCAACCAACTGCCCACCTCCGAAAGAGCAGGTCAAACCCACTTTTCGAAGACCACGGGACAGTTGGACTAGGGCGAAGACCACGTCCTGGTCTTCACTACGCCACGTAAGCCCTAGCAGTCACCTGAGTTGGGTCTGGCCATCCAGCCCAACACAAGTGATCGTTGGCCCAGCGCTGGGGTCTCTCTATAAATACCCTCTTCCTCAAGAGGGTCAGGTATTCACTTCTTACCCTTTTTCTGTACTTCGCCTTCACTCTGCCCAATTCCTTATTTCGACATCGGAGTGTCTTGCAGGTACACCCCCTCCTCCTCATCATCATCACCAGTGAACAGGTGTTGCACCCTAAAATTTGCCCACCCATTTTCTAGCTTTGACTGGCTTTTGCTTCGTTTTTATCTGCATATCATTTGGGTTTCATTTTGCCCGTGTTATCGGCCGGATTGAATTTGTCAGGATTTTAGCCGCTTTGCTCGCGTTTCAGACGAATCAAATTAATTCAAACGAAAAGCTCAGTGTCAAAATCGAGCGAAAGTCGCTCTCCTCTTGATAATTCAATCCATGTTGATAATATCGGCACATTTCGGTGCTCGCCCGTTTTTCCATTGCATTTTGCATTTATTTATTTATTTTTGTTTTATTTAATTATTTAGAATAGTTATTTCTTTCTTCTTTAGAATAGATTTTATTTTTTTATAGTTTTTATGTAGAAGTTTAATTTGTTTGAATTTTTATTAGAAATAGTTTTTTTTCTTATTTAGAATAGAAATAGATTATTTTTATAGTATAGAATTAATTTGTTTTAGAGGCATTTTAGGATTTTAAAATTAAATTAGTATTTGTTAGAACTATTTTAGAATATATAAATAGGTTATTAATTGTTTATTTATTTATTTATATTTTAAAATAGTTTTTATTATTAGTTTTAAATTGAATATTAGATGTCTATTTGGTTTAGCTTTTAAAACTTTATTAGGGTTTATTTAGAATTACAATATTCTTAGTTTAAGTGAGAGTAGATGTTGTTATTAATATAGAATTAGATAGAAATATAGTCAATAGAAAATTACAAAAGAAAGATTGACCCCACACTTCAGCCACTTCAGTAAACCCACCCAAGCCAAACAACAACATGTATTCTGTTGTGAAGTCATTCACTTATGCTCCAAGAAAAAAGCGTACAACAGCTCATACATCAATGCACACAGGACTACCATCCATAAAACCTGTCCTCTCCAAAGTACAACATAAAAAAGGCAAATCCACAAAGACAATGGGATGCACGCGAGAAACATGATCTTGCAACATGATAATGATAAGGCACTGCTATGATGCTACTCCAAAGCTTTGGCCCTGCTCTTGATGTTATCATACCAATTCTACACAAACAAACTATAGCTGATGTATCCTGCAACATGAAGAATGAAAAAATCAAAAAAAATCTGTTATGGAAAGGCAGTTGCAGAAGCAGAACAAAAAGTAAAAAAGAAAGGAAGAAGAAAATGACATTCCAAGATAAGATCTCACGCGTGATGCCTTGGTTCGGTTGTTGCTAAACACAAAATGTACCGCCCCTCCATGCTAGCAAAGCCTTAACCAAGTCTGCCACATTTTTCACATCACTTTTACACCAAAACAGGACCTGTGAATTACTGCCATTGCACAGCCAAAACCTCTCCTAAACCTCAAACAAAACTCATAGTACCATACTATCCTATTGTATCACAGATCCAGACCTGTTCTTTGAAAACGACAATTCGCCAACAGACAAATTTTGAGAGGATTTGAAAAGCAAAGAAAAAAACCTAGAGCCCATAAGACAACAGTTTTGAATCCTCCCCTTCATAGATTCATCTTCATATTCACCATAATAGCTCAGCTCATTTCTCTTCCTCAAGAACAACAACAAACTTTCAAATGAAAAGACCAACCCAGCGCCTCATTAACTTCATCTTCACTGCCATCACCACCTTACAAAAAACATTTTTACTTCAATATTCCTCCATGAAAACACCTCTCAAACCATCTTCAAGCCTGTAAACTCAGATTTCATCATCATCTGCAACAAAAAACGAAGCCTTTATTCTCGCCATTCCCTTTCTTTTTCCATCGCGACCAGTAACCCAACCACCTTGTTTCCATCGCTCTAACTCCTCTTCTACTCAACTCATAAACTCAAAAAAACAGAACAACAGAACATAACTCATAAACTCCTCCATTTTCATCTGAACCACAACTTTCAACGATCCTTGAAACAAACCCAAACTTCCACCGTTATCACCATCCTTAAGCTTCAACAAATCAAACCCGAAAATTACTTCACAGCCATCGAACCATCCAGCAGAACCCTTTGTCAAACTAAAAGCAGAGATTCGAAACAGAACGGGAAGAAGAAGAGTGACGTGAATCAGTTCAAACAACCCACATCGAGCTTCTTCATCGTTACCCAGATTGAAACCCATTTAGCCCGCGAAAACCCCTTTCCAAAACTTTCATCATCAACTAAATCCCAAACTTTCAAATCTTCTTCACAAAATCTTAATCCAAGAACCCATCGGAGCGAACCAAAGGACAGAGAGAGATTAAGAGCCATCAAAGAAATTCACTCACCAAATCACCCAGAAATACCTCAACCTCCATCAAACGAACCAACTTGGCATGAGAACAGGAGAAAGTGAATCGGATAGGATTGGAGCGGAAGTAGAAGGGCGAAATCAGATGAGATCTAAATGAATCTGAACGAGATGTTTGAAACTCGAAACAAGGCAAAAAGTTGAACAGACACGGGGACGAAGCGAGTAAGCGACTAGATAAGGATAATCATGGTGATTCACTTCTAATGCTCCGGTCTGAGGCAGCGTTTTTCCGTATTCCTTCACCCCTGTTACACACAATCAAATTTTGGTAGAGATGGTGACGGACTGAGGCCTTATTGATCTCATGGCATGTTTTTTTGCGATAGGCCTAAGGCTCGTGTTGTGTACCGCTTTTCTTTTGTTGTTCAAGATTGATAGTGGACGATGGGCTTGCAAAATCCCAAGTGACTCCACTCGTTTTTTTCCTGCTTATTTGTCACCCCCTGGCTCTTCTGCCCCCCTTCTGTTTGGTGATGTGAATGAATTTGAATGGGCCTCACGGCCCATGATGATAATTCCACCCCTGATTCAGGATAACCTCCCCGCTGTTATTCATTTTATAAATTATTTTGTAAAACCGTTTTGTAATATATTTTATATACGTATATAGCTTAATTTTTTTTAAAAAAAAAAACATAAAAATACGTTTTCTAAACTTGTGAGCGTATATATAGTTATAATTAGTTGTTAATATTTTATTTTAAAGATTTATGTATATAACTTTAGAGTTTTTTATAATTATTTTTAATAAGAGTTAAATTTTAACTTTTTTTCATTTTTGTTTGAGGATTTATATTTCCTCATTTAGGTCGATGAAGAAATTTCCTTCGATTCTCTATCAAATTATTGATGAGAAATGAAGGATCCGAGACCGACTTTTTCTCCTCTTTCTTATTTTCAACTTTATGTCACCTTTCGACTTTTATTTCATTTGTCGTGTTTTTTTGGTCGATGACGAGACCTCCGTAATTCATTACCAGTCAAATTATTGATAAGTAATGTTGGATCCGAGACCACCTCTTTTTTTTCTCTTCATTACTTGTCCCGACTCGATTTAAAACATTGTCAAACCATCTTCAAAATCCAATCATCTTTGTATTGAATTAAAAAGAGGGGATTAAGTGTAGACTTTCTTCCTCTCCGAGCGTTGGGATACCCACTGTAGTGAGGGTGGTTTCGACGCTCGTCTTTCAATGCGAAGACGCTTCCACCCCCTTTTCCTCCTAAAACCTCGGCTCCGCACCGAGTGCATTTCCAAAAAAACCTCGGTCTCGTACCGAGTCCATTTTCAAACCACCTTTAAAATAAATTTCTCTTTGTATCGAATTAAAGAGAGAAGATTGGGTGTAGACCTCTTCT